AATAATATAACCTTGTAGATTTAAGGAGGAGAATGATATTTCCCACGTTTTCGCTATCTTATCATCAAGGCAGTTGGCTTCCTCCCTTCTTTGTTTGCTTCCTTACTCACGGTGGTTAAAGGAATATTTGTTTTCGAAGGTTTTCATGCCCTGAATCACTGGGTTGTTGTGTATTTTCCGGGCTGTATGGCCATGTTTCAGAAGCATTCTCTCCTGGTGTTTTACCTGCATCTATGGCAGGCAACCTCTGAGGATGCAGGTGAAAGGTCAGGAGAGAATGCTTCTGGAACATGGCCACACAGCCCGGAAAACACAAAAGAAAAAAAATCTTTCTAGGAATTAGGGATGTATTTATGAATAAAATGCACCAGTATGGTTATTTTGATCGGAGTTACTCCCCTTATCTTGTCAATTCCAAATTCTAGAGATGGGCTTCCATATTGACTTTGTTGCCACTAAAATGGACACAGAATTGCAAGTGCCTGTTTTAGTCCCAGGAAATGCAGTATATGGCCCCTTTCACACAGTTGAATAAGACCCCACATCATCTGCCATGAACTGGGATATATGGCATCTGGACTCAGATAACCCAGTTCAAAGCAAATATTGTGGGATTTTCTGCCTTGATATTATGGGATATAGCGCTGTGTGGAAGGGCCCTTTGTCATAATGTGCATTGCTGTACACTATGACCGGGGAGTAAGAATGATGGAACTCAGTGAGTCTTACTCTTGAGGAGATATATAGCCATTCCTCGATCACATGAGCGACCGACCCCTAAAAATACCCAGAAGAGATAGTTATACCGAGAAGAGAGTAAATAAAATGCTGGGACAAGGAAAAAGTAGTGCTTTAAAAAAACTTTATTAGTGCCTATAAATACACGAATAAGTCAAAAATTACATCCTATTTATATAGAAATGTTTTAGCCATAGGATAAGATACCCACATTAACTGTGTTGCTGACAAAAATAGTCTCTTTTGATTTCAAACCAGTTTAATTTTGAAATCATAAATCTCTTCCAAATGTGTATATTTTGCTCTTTGGAAACATCCTCCTACAAATTGGGGGGAGTGGGTTAGAAGCAAACCAATATATAAGATAGACAGCACATGTCACCTATACCACTATAAAATCCACTTCAAATTTTGCATCTCTTTTCTAGAAAAGTATAGTGCAATCCTATACTAGTCTGCCCTGATATAAAACCTTTAGAATTCAACGTGAGTTGTTTCCATGTGAGAGTGTAAGGGATTGCAGCCCAAATTATAGGAAGTATCCGTAGAGCAAGATATTTGAGATGAAAACATTGTTTTGTATGCAGGAAAGCATTCCTGGGTTGCTATGAGTTTTCCGAGCTGTATTGCCATGTTTAATTCCTCTTTGCCTTAACATTTGATTTTTTGAGGGTGATTTTATTTTTCTTTGATATTTTAAGGAATTGGGTCTCTGTTAAAGGCACCTAACATAAATTTTGATTTTTTTTTTAAAATGAGGTTTGTTGCCTCCTAGTCCAATAGTCCACTTATCTTCTTTCAGAAGGGAAATTTCTGAGGGGGGTGGATTTAAATACAGTGGGCTTTTGCTATCTGTCGCCTAGACATTCCTCTCTCTGGTTGTATGAATGCGTTTGTGCAAAAATTAGATAGGTATTTCTATCTCTGTATCTAAATCCAGTACATACATACACACACACACACACACACACACACACACACACACACACACACGTGCTTAGAGGAAGATAACCCAGTACATATTGAGTTGCTGTGAGTTTTCCGCCCAGTACATATTGAGTTGCTGTGAGTTTTCCGGGCTGTGTGGCCATGTTCCAGAAGCATTCTCTCCTGACATTTCGCCCAGATCTATGGCAGGCATCCTCAGCGGCTGTGAGGTCCTCAGAAGTTGTGATGACCTTACAACCTTGGAGGATGTCTGCCATAGATCTGGGCGAAATGTCAGGAGAGAATGCTTCTGGAATATGGCCACACAGCTCGGAAAACTCACAGTAACCTAGTGATTCCGGCCATGAAAGCCTTTGACAACACCAGTTTATATTATTTATCTCATCCTTTAACTCAGATTCTTCTCAGGAAAAAAAACCCTTTATTTTCCTCTTCTTACCCCATTCTTTAGAAGGTTGTTTATTCCTATTCCCAAAGATCAGAAAATAAAATCTAAAGCAGGAGCCTTATGGTGTAAATTGACTACACACACACAGTATGCCAAAAATCATCTCTCTTTGTGCCAAGAATCAACTATGTAGTCTTGGCCTCCTTAGGAATTTTCTTTAGTTCCTTCTTACTGCGGATTTCATAACCTTTACATTTCCCTCTCTCTTCTGCAACTCTTTTACAGATTTTTTCCCTTGCTTACTATTAAATAACATGACCAACCCCTACTTCTCCCCGCACTCCGAGCTCCATGTTGTCTCCTTGCTTATATATATATACGCACACGTACATTTTAAAGACACTGCTAAAGACCTCAAAAAAACTAAGTCCAAGGGCGAGGTGAACTTCAGGTCAACGCGTCTAACAAATATGAAAATGTCGCTCGGTGAAGGGCACGCCTTGTTATTTAACAAAGACTGTCAATGTGTAAGATTAATAAGAAACAAAATGCGGCCGGTGTCACTTTTCGGTCATTTTGAAACTCGGGGCAGGGTTGCATTCAAGAGGGGAAAAGCTGGGTTAAATATATTCAAAATGCTTCGCATCGCATTCAGCCCGAGTTGCCGGGTGTCTCCTTCCTCCCGCATCTTTCTTCCCTTCTCTCTCTCTCTCCTTCTCTGTCTCCCGGGCGCGTGGGCAAGTTGAAAAGTTTAATGACATCGACTGCATATCAATTCCCGGGCCAAGACGGTGAGATACAGGCATAGATATCACGGGGGGGGGGGGGGGGGGCCAAACGATGGCATTGTCCCCTCAAAAGAAGAATTCTGTGTTCTCTCATCAAATTTTCCTACAACCCCAATTTAAAAAAAAAATGCAAAGAGAGCCATAGAGCGATTGAAAATCGTTCCCACCTAGAACTCTTTTATTTTTTTCTGTGCTTGCATTCCCTTAATAACTTTGCCTACTCCTTTTCTTTGCATGCCTACACTGTATTTCTAGGCACCCAAGAGCTATTTTCAAACAACATTACACTGAAGAATAATTTTATTTGGGGAGAGATAGGATTCTCATGGGGAGGAGTAATGACTTCATTTTGTCCCCTTCTCCATAGCTATTTCTGCATCTGAACAGATATGTATAGATTTACTGGGTTGGTGTGAGCTTTCCAGGCTGCATGGGCATTTTCCAGAAGCATTCTCTCCTGACATTTCGTCTGCATCTATGGCAGACATCCTCTGAGGTTGTGAGGTCCTCAGGCGAAACGTCAGGAGAGAATGCTTCTGGAATATGGCCATACAGCTCGGAAAACTCACAACAACCCAGTGATTCCGGCCATGAAAGCCTTCGACAATATATAGATTTACTTACTTAGGATATTGAAATACGCACACATATACACACGGTGCTAATAATAATAATAATAATAATAATAATAATAATAATAATAATAATTTTATAATATAATATAATATAATATTTTTTATTATTATTATTATTATTATTATTATTAATAATAATAATAATAATAATAATAATAATAATAATAGTATACCGTCCTATCTCCCCAAAGGGCCTCAGTGCAGTATACATATACATATGTGTTTAGACAGAAATATGTTTAACATTTGCCCAGATTTTATAACCTTCACATAGAAAATGTATTTGCTCACGAGGAAGTGATCAGCGAAGGAGGAGGATCATAATATTGTCTCATGGCTCCTAGGGGGACCGGATCCGGTTGGATATTTTCCTAAGTCTTTGCTCATCCGGTTGAGTGTCTTATTGCTATAACCATTCGCCCTCCTCCTACTCCTCCGCCACAGTGTGCATTAAGGCCGTGTTGGTGTGTTTGCTGGCTTCACAAAGGTTGCTATCCCAAACTTTAAAGGAACACAAGGCCAGGCTCCAATGTCCGGTATCTGAGGTTGCTCCATGGGGCCATAAATCTCTGGTGGAAAGGAGAGGGGGTGGACAGAGAGAGAGGGAGAGTGGAAAAGGCCAACTGGAGCGATAAGACCTGGTGGTCTGGGCTGGACTCCTGTTTAGGGTATGCAAACGGCCAAGATGTGGCACAGGCCCATCTCTGCAGCCTGGTTTAAGCAAGAATCCCTTGAAAAACAAGGCTGAAGCTCAGGTCACCTTGAAGATTTACAGCACTAGGATCCCATTCATCCCCGTTCAACCAAGCGAAGGAGACATCCAGTGGAAAGAGAGTCAGTGCAGGGAAACAAACAGGCAGGGCTCTAAGGCTGAACCAGGATAGCTCAGATTAAACCACCCTCGGTTCTCCGAAGCAGACAAAAAGAAGGTACTGTCTTTGTTTCTATGTATATATTTATTGCAAAGAGGGTGTTGTTGTGGTTTTGCGGCTTTATTTCTGTCTATGGCCGCCTCCTAATCCAAGGGTTGCGCCCTTGACACTCAAATTGATGGCATTTATGCGTAAATTATATTGGGCCGCCTGTCCCTGTGCTAGTAGTATGTATTCTCCATAGCCGTCCACATCTATATGCCTTTCTTACATCGTTAAAACCCATCCTGGGCTATGGTTATTATTTGCAGTCACAAAGCTGCCCAAAATGGATGGAAAATATGCCAATTCACATTTCCTTCCACTAGCAATTGAAGCCGAAATCAGTTGTAATTTTCGCAGATGTTCATGCTATATATATTTGTGTGTCATTTTGAGGCATATTTCTGATACTAGCTGCAAAGTAACCCTTGTTTGAATTTTCAGGCCAGAATCAGAGTTGTGAGAGAAATACAAAGCATGGAAGGGGAACCAGAGAAATATTTTTATTAAAATATAAATATAGAGAGAAGCAAGGACTCACACACACACACACTAAAGCAGCCAATTCAGTGGTATTTTATTTAATAATCCACCAGATAAATAATAAACTGTTATGATCATAAAAGTCAACAAACCACACTTGGATGAAAAGGTCATGGTGAGAATGTTCATTCGGATTGGGTTGTTGTGTATTTTCCAGGCTGTATGACCATGTTCCAGAAGCATTCTCTCCTGACGTTTCGCCTGCATCTATGGCAGGCATCCTCAGAGGTTGTGAGGTCTTGCCATAGATGCAGGCGAAACGTCAGGAGAGAATGCTTCTGGAACATGTCCATACACACAACAACCCAGTGATTCCGGCCATGAAAGCCTTCGACAATACATTAATTCGGATTATGTGAATTAAAGCATACACACTCACATAGATGTTCAGGAGACAGTGCTTTATTATATTTGAACATTAGCTTTGAGGTCACCATTCTGAATCCCTTCCAAACCCTTTGACAACACAATGCTAACCCATTTGCCTTCCATGGGATTGCTTCCCAGGTAAGTAAGTACCGAATGGGTAGTATTGGAGCCTTAAAGGCTGAAATATTACAATCCAGAGAGACCAAAATGCCCTGAGTGCATCAAACGATAAAATTAAGATGTTGTAAGGGAAGCTGCTCCAGATTTCAATTACCCCAGGTCACACAATCGCCTCCTTTTTCCTTCCTTCCCTGTTAACGATCAATTTTCAGTCAGATTACTCACGTCATATTTACAGTACTGGTGAAAGAGGCCCTTGTATTCCGATGGTCTTTAAAATAACTAACTTTCAAAGTAAGGAAAATTATCTTTCCTTGAACGGAAAATAAGCATCCTGGGAAACAGAGGACTTTACTTATTTGTGTATTTGTTCAGCCAGGCATGCGGATGACCTCACTCTTAGTTTCCTAGTGTGTTCTGTTGCCTGTTCCATTATTATTATTATTATTATTATTATTATTATTATTATTATTATTATTATTTCCCTTTTCTCATCAGCATTCTCGGCTCAGAGGATGGCACCCGCCTCTCTAGAGCTGCCAAGGGATGAGGACATTTAAAAATAATTAAATGATGCTTTAAAAAAAAGGGGGGGGGGGAAGCAAGCCAACCAGTCAGCCCCATTTCAAATCCCAGGGGTGTATCAGAGAAGCAAATCGCGTGTTGCCATTAAGGTGGCCTTCGTGGGACAGATTGCTCTTTTGATGTCCCTGTGAGTGCCCTTTCTTTCATTAATGGCCTGAAAAATCAGAGGAGTCTCCTCGAATGGTCTTTCCCTTTCAGAAATACCTTTGAATCCCTCTTAGGGTCCTATGGAAGGGGGCTGGAAGGCTTTAAAAATAAATAAAAACAATGTATTGTCGATGGCTTTCTTGACCTGAATCACAAGGTTGTTGTGAGTTTTCCGGGCAGTATGGCCATGTTCCAGGAGCATTCTCTCCTGACGTTTCGCCTGCAGCCATCCTGAGAGATTGTTAGGTCTGCTGGAAACTAGGAAAATGGGGTTTATATATCAGTGGAGACTCCATTTTCCTAGTTTCCAACAGACCTCACAACCTCTGAGGGTGCCTGACAGAGATGCAGGCGAAACTTCAGGAGAGATTGCTTCTGGAACATGGCCATACAGCCCGGAAAACTCACAACAACCCAGTAAATAAAACAGTCTCTTGGTTTCATTTCAGGCCAGTCTGCTTCACGCTCCAAATACTCGCCTTGGTGTACTTCTTGAGGAAGTGGTCGGGGGCTTAAGGTTCAAAACCGGGCACCTCGAGACATCCCAGCCCCCTATAAGGTCAGGATATTCTAATCCGGGATAAGGACTAGCGTCTAAACTGATTTTCCTTCTGTAGAATCAACCACCCAAACCAATCATTGCTGCCCTGAAGGAGATGTGTTTCACACCTCATTCCCTGAAGGTTTTCAACCAGTTCTGATCAGAATAAGAACAGAAGGCAGTCACTAACCCAGATGCGTGTACTCAGAGGTGGACATCCCTGTTTATACACTCTTAACAGTCGAATATGCCTCCCCCGCTGCTTCCCCTGAAACTGGGGAGGGCGAGAGGAGGAAAAACCGAGTTGGCGCCCCATAAACGGGAGGAGCCCCGGTGGGGGTCCACGCTGCCCTTCTCACCCCCCACTCACTCGTCCTTGGCTTCGTCTATCTCTTCCGCCGTCCCTTCCAAGTTCGGTTTGGAATCCGCGGGAAAGCATTGCCGCCCTTTCTGTCCCTTTCTCCCTCCCTAGTCCTTCGTTGCCTCTGGCCGACACCATCATCATGATCATCAACCTCATCATCATCATGATCATCACCATCTCCTCGCCCACTAGGGGAAAGCGGGTGGCCAGGAACCGTCCTGGGCTTGTCCTCTAGGCTTCCCCCCTCCCTCTCCTTTCTTCTTGTTCCATTTCCTGATCCGGGCTCTGCCAACCGCTTAGCAATTGGCCCTGCCGGTCAGGTGGTGGGGGTGGCATGGGTGAGTATGTGGATCTGTATGGTTCCAGCTGAAGGGAAGGGGGGGGGGTCTTGAGGGGGAGTGTAGGCCCAAACTTTGGCAGGGGCCGCTTTGACAAACAGCAAAAAAAGAGAAAAAAAGGGGGGGAGATGTGAAGAGAGGCAGGGTTCAGGAAGGAAGGAAGGAGGGAGGGAGGGGAGGAAAAAGGAAGGGGGGAGAGGAGGAGGAGGAGGAGGGGAGGGGCCTCGCCGAGCCCAGAAAAACGACAACGCGAGAAAAATTAGTATTTTTGCACTTCACAAATTAATGACCATGAGTTCGTTTTTGATAAACTCCAACTACATCGAGCCCAAATTCCCTCCTTGCGAAGAATATGCGCAGCTCGGCGGCGGAGGGAGCGGCGGAGGCGGGAGCAACTACCACCACCACCAGCAGCACCACCAGCAGCACCATCATCCCCAGCAGCAGCACCTGCGCCAGGCTCACCACCCTGTGCCCGATTACTACCAGCGTCCGAGCAGAGGGCCAGGGTACCAGCCTCCTCCTGCTCCTCCTCCTCCGCAGCCTCCTCCTCCGGAGTCGCTCTACCCTGCTCCGCCGAGCCACTTCCCCGAGTCTCCTTACAGCTACACCGGCCTAGGCTCTGTTACCCCGGGACAGGACCCGCCGGCTCCAGGAGTCTCCCCTCCGCCGCCTCCGCCTCCTGCTTCCGCCCCTCCTCCGAGGAAGGGCCACCCGGTCCCGGGCCAGACCTTGCTCCAAGGCCACGTCCCCCCTCCTCCGCCTCCGCTTCCTCCCCAGCGCCATTGCGAGGCCGCCCCCGGAGCCAGCCCCGCGTCCTGCCCGCTCTTGGCCCCCGAGAAGAGCCTCCAGCCGGGCCTCAAAGGAGGAGGGAAAGAGCCTGTGGTCTACCCTTGGATGAAGAAGATCCACGTGAGCACGGGTGAGTGGAGCCCTGGGAGAGCGCCTGAGTGGGGGGTAGGGGGGTGGGCGAAGTGGGCGAGGGGTAAGAGGCCGGCCCACCCTCTTAGACTGCGAGAAAGGGTCTGTGTATGTGTGTGAGAGGGAGCGAGAGCCCCAATGTAAATGAAAGTCCTGAGAAAACCTTTGGTGTACGCAGGGGCCCTTTATCAGGAGATTTACGAGACTCCAAACTGTTAGGGCAGCCATTATAGCCCCCATAAATTTAATAGCCCTGGGCCGGGAGGCTTTGAAGCTTTTTCTGGGACCCAAATGCCCGTCACCATTTTTTATGGCACCCTCTCCTTTCAGTTAGCTCCCATTGTCCAAAGCCTTTGAACCATGTTCTTCCCCTCTTCTTCTTGCCTTGATCCATCTCCTCCCTTAGCCCCCAGTGAACCCAGGGTCTTCTATCAGAGTGATAACCTTCCGTTGCTTTCTTCTTCCTCTTCCTTCTCCCCTCTTCCTCCCCTTTTGGGCTCAGTGAATCCGAATTACACCGGAGGAGAACCGAAGCGCTCCCGGACCGCCTACACGCGGCAGCAGGTGCTGGAGCTGGAGAAGGAGTTCCACTTCAACCGGTACCTGACCAGGCGCCGCCGCATCGAGATCGCCCACAGCCTCTGCCTCTCCGAGCGCCAGGTGAAGATCTGGTTCCAGAACCGGAGGATGAAGTGGAAGAAGGACCACAAGCTGCCCAACACCAAGATGCGCTCCTCCAACCCTCCCAGTCTTAACCAGCAAGCCAAAGCACCGCACCACCACCAATCCCCGGCGCCCCAACCGAGGGGCAGGGCGACCCCAAGCGCAGCAGCCCTATGATGGCCCCATAGACTCAGGGAGACCCCTGCCTCGCTTGCTTCGCGTTTGTCCCGAGGACCAAAAAACTATACTCCTCAAGCAAGGGGGAAAGGACACCAGGACAAGCAGAAATGCCCAGCATAGGGCGCCTGTGTTGAAACCAAAACCGAACCAAACCAAAACTGGATCCAATGTTTCCCTTCTGTAAATGTCTCTTCATTGCCATGGTTTCTAATTGATTATTATTATTATTATTATTATTATTATTATTATTTATGGAAATACCATCTACCTGCAGCATTAAAGCGTTGAGGATGATTCCTGTACCTTAAGGAAAGGACCATTTGTAGATAATGTTTTCAAAGTGTTTCTGAGTGACTTTGTGAGGCGTGGGTAAAAACCTAGGCTCGTGCTGTTTCGTGGTATGTGTGTGGACTCTCCGTTGCAGAGGCAGAAGTCAACCCATCTCCTTTCATTGAGGTCTTGTTGGGGCATCATGGAAAGGGCGGCCCAAGGATAGATCACACAGTCCGCTCTGACTACGAAAAGATGTCTTCTGTGTACCATGCATCATTCAAGCTCTGAAAAAGTATAGTTCTTGCTTTAGTCCTGATATGTTAATCTCCCCAATGTTGGGTGGTTTCTGAAAACGTTTTTTAACCCATTGAAAATACACCAACACTGCTATAAAGGCTGTTTCTGTCTTCATGTCACGCCACAGTCGAAGTCCCGTGTACAATGTGCAAATTATGTGTATACATCTGTGTACGTGTGATGTGTGTGTATATATTTATATATATCTATAATGTCCAGTGCTGTTAATAAAAGAATATCCTGTACCAAAAACAAGTCAGATTAAAAGCACTAGACACACCAGGAAAAGCCAGAACCCTCTTGGCTTTGTTGGTACCGGATTGCTGCCTAAATGCGTATTGTGTCATGTACAGTCACACAGGTACCTATTCCTCAGTAAAGGTTGGGTCTAGAGGTCTTATTAGCGATTCCACCCCAAGACTAACCACATTAAGATTTTGGAAAAAACCCGCAATACATTCCATAACAATGATTTACATAGAGGATTGTATTTCAACACCCGAACAAACCAGAACTGAAATGAGTGGAGTACTAATTTTCCATGGCTTGTGGACTGGCCTGTCTGGCCTTCCAGGGTTTTTCAACCACCAGGCTTATCTGTACTGCTGTCCTCTGGTTGCAGCCCCCGCAAGGCATCTTTCTGCATTCACCTACATGAATTTTGCACTCTGTCAACACCTTTCTTAACCTACTGCTATTTCTCTGGCCTGTGTGAACATGACTAGAGACCTTCCAATGGATTCAATGCACAGAACTTAATAATGGCGATCATTGCTATTGCTCCCCTCTTTCACACACAACCACACACACATTATCTCCCTTCTCTCCCCCCTTTCCACGACTAACTGCTGTTTAATCAAATAGAACTATAAAGAAACATTATATGGGTATCTTTTCCTTTATTCACTGTGATGACTTGGAAGGGCACACACACCAACTTGAAGGCAAAACAAGCAATTTCTGAACATGTGGCTTCATTTGCTGTCTTCTGAATAATTCAACCACCCCCTGCAATGAACACACAGTAAAATCCCCTAGCTAGGTGAATAATGCAGTCCTACCTGTGCATTGAATTTGGGGTTTGAGTTGCATGTCAGAATGCATAAACTTGCAATCAGGTGGTAGTAATATATTACTACTATTAAGGAAAACAATCTTGTTCCTTATAGATACCTAGAGCAGTATTTTAGTTATTTATTTACTATATCATTATATTTATTTTTATCCCGCTCCTCTATCTACTCTTCTCCTGGAAACTTTAATCAGTTTTTTGTTGAGTTTTTAGCCAAGCAATAAAGCCATACGGGGGTGCTCAAGGAAGCATAGGCAGATGGTTCCAATATATCATGGTACTGGGTTGTCGTGAGTTTTCCGGGATGTATGGCCATGTTCCAGAAGCATTCTCTCCTGACGTTTCGCCTGCATTCTCAGAGGTTGTGAGGTCTGTTGGAAACCAGGAAAATTGAGTTTATATATCAAGGTGCTGTTGGGCTGACATGCCAAAGAAGGTCCAAAGGAGAGCAAAACATTGCTAGGAACCATCTGAAAGAGCTACCAAAGTGAATGCCCAAAGGTGGTGGTGGTGGTGGTGCTTCTATCTTATTTACTAAATCTCTGAAATGCCCATCCCCTCTGGATTCTTTACTTAGAAATAGAAGAGAAGAGGCTGGCAAACTCGGGGCTGTTTTTCTTCCTCCTCCAGAGCAGATCTCTTTGTCTAAAAGCCTTTGTTTGAGTTGGCATGGATAATGTTTCTGTGTTCAGTTGCTGAAACTCTAAAATTAAGAGGAATGGTCAAGATGTTTAATCAACTATTCACCAGCAGAATGCGGATCTGCTCTAACTTCCGTAGTTTTGAGGCTGGAAGCCCTCCCTCCCCTCCCCTTTCTTTTCCCATTGTTTTTTTTTTTAAAACCCTCGAAATGAAATCAGGCTGAAAATAGCAATTTTACTGGGAATCATTAATCACCTCCTACAATAAATACTTCTTTGTAATTCAACAGCAGTTCTGAAAGGCATTCTCTTGGAAAAGGTCTGAGAAGACACGAAGGATTTTCCTGAGGAAAATGTGTTCATGTATAAAGACACAGTCGCTTGGCTGTGCCCTGATGAAAATGTATACTTTCTGGGAGGAGAATCCAGCACGGAGGGAAAAAATACATATGGCAGGCTGTCATCATCCAAGGTAATGCTTTTATTTGATTTCGATTCCCCACCCTTTCCCCCTCTTTCCAGTGCAATATGGATTTGCTTTGATGTGTTGGCTAGGGTTTCGGGCATCTTGACTTGGTTGACACAATCAATGGTACAGCAAGCTCGAAAACTGGAGTGGAGCTTAAACCCCACCATTGTCCTGCCTGGGCCCGGGCAATGGGGAGAGTTCACCGAAAGGACACATTTTCTATCCCATTAATTGTTTTTTTAAGAGGAGCAGACTGACCCATCAAACCCTTGACCTTTAAAGACAGTGTTCTTTCACTTGGACCCAAACATGTTCCCCTCTCTCTGACTTACATCCTCCTTACACCCACACAGTTTCCCCCTTCCCACTTACAAACCCCCTCCCCTCTTTCACACACAACCACACACACATTCTCTCCCTTCTCTCCCCTCTTCCCTCAACCTTCTGTCTTTGACACACATACATATTTGTGTTGTACACGAGCTTTACCTCCCTCTCTTTCTCTCATCTAACCCCCTCTCTCACATATAGGATCTCTCCCATTCCTTCCTTTCCTCCCTACCTTTCTTTCAGTCTCCCTCCCTCTCTCACAGACAATCTCTCCTTTGTCTCACCTTTATTTTCCTATTTCTCTCTCAGCCTTCTGTCTTGGACACACATGAATATCACTGATGCACACATATAGTACTTTATCTACCTCCCTCCCTTTCTCTCATCTAACCCCCCTCTCTCACACACAGGATCTCTCCCATTCCCTCCTTTCCTCCCTACCTTTCTTTCCGCCTCCCTCCCTCTTCCACAGACAATCTCTCCTTTGTCTCACCTTTATTTCCCTATTTCTCTCTCAGCCTTCTGTCTTGGACACACATGAATATCACTGATGCACACATATAGTACTTTATCTACCTCCCTCCCTTTCTCTCATCTAACCCCCCTCTCTCACACACAGGATCTCTCCCATTCCCTCCTTTCCTTCCTATATTTCTTTCAGCCTTCCTCCCTCTCTCACACACAATCCCTTCTTTGCCCCCCCCCATTATTTCCCTACTTATCTCTCAGCCTTCTGTCTTGTACACACATGAATATCTATGATACATACAGCACTTAACCCTGCTCTCTTTCTCTTATCTAACCCCCTTCTCTCACACATAGAATCTCTCCCATTTCCCCTCTTCCTCCCTACCTTTCTCTCAGCCTCCCTCCCGCTCACACAATCCCTCCCCCCCCCCTTATTTTCCTACTTCTTTCTCAACCTTCTGTCTTGGACATACATGAATATCCTGTGATGCACACATACTGCACTTTACCTTCCTTCCTCTTCTCTCACAGGCACACATGATCTCTCCCTTCTCCCCCCCCTTCTCTACCTTTCTTTCAGCCTTCTGTCTTGTGTGCATCACAGTTATTTATGTGTGTCAAAGACAGAAGGCTGAAAGAAAGATAGAGAAAGGGAGGGGGGAGAGAGAGAGGGAGAAGGGAGAGATTCTTCCTTCTTCCCTCACACACTTCTCTCTTTTCTTCCTCACTCAAATCACTGCTTTCCTTCCCCATTGCAGAGGAGGTTTCTGTAGAGATTCAACCTTTCAGAGAGGCAGAAGCTCCATGTCATTCCTGGAGGTCCCATCTGCAGCAAAGGAAATGGTGGGGAAGAGAAGGGAGATATCCTTCCTGCCTCACACACTTCTCTCTTTTCTTCCTCACTCAAATCACTGCTTTCCTTCCCCATTGCAGATGAGGCTTCTGTAGAGATTAAACCTTTCAGAGAGGAGAAGATCCATGTCATTTCTGGAGGACCATCTGTAGCAAAGGAAAGGGTGGGGAAGAGAAGGGAGAGGTCCTTCGTTCCTCCCTCGCGCACTTCTCCTCTCTTTTCTTCCTCACCCAAAACACTGCTTTTCTTCCCCATTGCAGAGGAGACTTCTATAAACCTTTCAGAGATGCAGAAGCTCCATGTCATTCCTGGAGGTCCTACTTCTCTCTCAGCATTCTCTTTTGGACACACATGAATATCCTGTGATGCACACATCTAATACTTTCCCTCCCTTCCTTTCTCTCTCACACATGGTCTCTCCCTTCTCTTCCCCCTTTCTCTACCTTTCTTTCAGCTTTCTGTCTTCTGTGCATCACAGTTATTTATGTGTCTCAAAGACAGAAGGCTGAAAGAAAGATAGGGAAAGAGGGAGAGAAGGGGGAGATCCCTCCTTCCTCCCTCACACACTTTTCTCTTTTCCTCTTCTCCCAAAACACTGCTCTCCTTCCCCATTGCAGGGGAGACTTCTGTAGAGATTAAACCTTTCAGAGAGGCAGAAGCTCCATGTCATTCCTGGAGGTCCCATCTGCAGCAAGCAAGGGTTGGAAGGAGATTGTAAATTTTTATTCTTTCTGCTCCAATCTGCCATACACATGCCTAGGTTTGTTTGGTTGCCTTTGAATTGCTGAACAAGAGAACTGAGTCCCCTTCCGCACAGTTGAATAAAACCTCACATTATCTGCTTTGAACTAGAATATATGGCAGCGTGGTATCAGATAACCCAGTTCAAAGCAGATACTGTGAGATTTTCTGCCTTGATATTCTGGGTTATGTGGTTGTGTGGAAGGGCCCTGAGCTCACCCATTTGCACTCCAGCATTAAAAAAGGAATGAGGGGAAAGAGGCTCAAAATGTACTGCCTTCCCTCCCCCACTCCCCACCACCCATTTTTTCATGCTGTGTGGATTTGGCTTATGAGGCCTACATTTTCCCAGTCTTTGAAAAAACTTTTATTGAAAAAATGGACATAAAACAAAGTCTACAAACAAGCATCATTGCAAAAAGGCTGCGAGTACCCCAAACTTCAGTCCAGGTTTCTGCTCCTTGTCTCCTTTTGCTTTGCTCAATAGAGACTACAGAACTGGCCCCAGCCCATGCTCTGATGCCCCCTTTCCTTTAAAGCAGGGCCCTCTCCATTTGCTTGGTTTGTTCACCGCAGAAATATACAAAAGAGATCGATATCTCACTGACATCATTCCATGGGGCAACCTTAGCGTGAACCGACTTGAAGACCAATAAACAAGAATAGTGAGGTTTCCCTTGTGATTTATGACCTACAGAGAAGAGCTATCTATTTTGGTGTGTGTGTGTGTGTTTTAAAAAATAATGTTTTGGAATTGTCAAAATGAGTACTCGAAACCTTCATTCCCCCTATATTTCCGTTGCAAAGGAGGAAGGGAAAGGGATATGGGAAAATTCAAATCCTTCTGGAGACACAATTTTGAAGGAGAGACTCAGCTCCTTTAATAATAGAAGAAGGTGTTAACATAGTACTCGTTGTCCAGATTTAGAGCACACTGTTCACTTTGCAAATTTATTTTAGGCAGCCACCCACCAAGACACATTTGCTTGCTCCTATGGGACAGTTACTTTGGGAAACTACAGCTCCCCAAATCAACTAGTCAACCAGCAGTTGGATGGTTGGTGTCTTCTGGAAGTTTAGTCTCTCCCCAAAACGAAACTCTAAAATCAATAAAAATTACACATATATATTATCTTTATTTCATACATACTTCCTAGTCGAACTCCAATGGCGATGGACTACAACTGAATTGGGTGGATTGGATCCAGATAGAAACCTTTGCACTTGTGGTCTCTCTGAGGTCAAAAAGACCACTTAGGCCTCATCTACACTGGCATATAATCCCGATTATCTGCTTTGAACTGGATTATATGGCAGTGTAGACTCAGATAATCCAGTTCAAAACAGATAACATAGATTATCTGTTTTGATAATCTGGATTATATGGCAGAGTAGAAAGGGCCTTAGTCCAATCCTGATTAAATTTCACTGGTTTCAACAGAGGTCAAAGTGCAACTAAGGTTATAATAATCAACGCATTTAATATTCCACCTATAATGCCAGATAAAATCCATATGATCTACTTTGATCTTGATTATATGGCAGTGTAGACTCATATAATCCAGTCCAAATAAGATATAGTGGATTATCTGATTTGATAATATGGATCATATGGCAGTGTAGATCCAGATTAAGAGGGTGAGCTAATTCAACTCCATTAGGTTTATTTCTGAATAGATGTAGATAGGTCCTGTTATTTGTATTGATTTCTTGATATACAAGTGTCAGTGAATGCAAAGGGATATACATCTGAGTATAAATAGATGGGAATGTGACATTAAGTGTTCTTAGAGGCAAAATCTAATTGATGATCTCAAGTAGGTAGACCCAGACCCCCTCTACACTGCCACATAAAAGCCAGATTATCTGCTTTGAACTGGATTATATGGCAGTGTAGACTGATATAATCCAGTTCAAAGCAGATAATGTGAGTGATTTTCCTTGATAATCTGCATTATATGACAGTGTAGAAGGGGCCTCAGGGAATCAATGGGAAGATAGGTAAATCAATCCCTAGGTTCCTTTTACACTGCCATATAATCCAGATTATCAAATCACAGTATCTGATTTGAACTGGATTATTGCCATATAATCCAGTTCAAAGCAGATAATATGGATTTTATATGTCAGTGTACAAGGGCCCTTAGGTAAGATCCATGAATTAGTGCATGTATTTTAGCTGGGGACTACCAGAAGGATCTGGCCCACTCTTAGGGTGCATCTGCACTGTAAGAATTAATGAAGTCTGGCACTACTTTAACTACCATGGTTCAATGCTGTCGAATCAGGGCAGTTGTCATTTTACAAGGTCTTAAACCTTCTTTGAAAATAATGGTGGTGCCTCAAGTCCATCATTCCATAGCATTGAGCCATGACAGTTAAAGTTGTGTCAAACTGCATTAATTTGCACCCTAAGTTTGGTATGCTCAATGCAGTCTCCTTGTGCCTCAATGAATGATCACATCTCCCTCCTTGACCACATGATCCACCACACCACCCTGAAGGCACCAGATTTCATGTAACCTCTGAAGTTAAGTAGGGTCTGGACTGAATAGTCCTTGGATGGTGGACCACCACAGAATCCAGAATACCACCCTGAAGGCACCAGATTTCATGTAAACTCTGGAGTAGGGTCTGTACTGAATAGTCCTTGGATGGTGGACCACCACAGAATCCATCACACAACCCTGAAGGCAGCAGATCTCATGTCACCTCTGAAGTTAAGTAGGGTCTGGACTGAATAGTCCTTGGGTGGTGGACCACCACAGAATCCATCACACAACCCCGAAGGCAGCAGATCTCATGTCACCTCTGAAGTTAAGTAGGGTCTGGACTGAATAGTCCTTGGATGGTGGACCACCACAGCATCTGCCACACCACCCTGAAGGCACCAGATTTCATGTAAACTTTGAAGTTAAGTAGGGTCTGTACTGAATAGTCCTTGGATGGTGGACCACCACAGAATCCATCACACAACCCTGAAAGCAGCAGATCTCATGTCACCTCTGAAGTTAAGTAGGGTCTGTACTGAATAGTCCTTGGATGGTGGACCACCACAAAATCCATTACACAACCCTGAAGGCAGCAGATCCCATGTCACTTCTGAAGTTAAGTAGGGTCAGGACAAAATAGTCCTTGGACGGGAGACCACAACAAAATCCACCACAGCACCCTGAAAGCACCAGATCTCATGTCACCTCTGAAGTTAAGTAGGGTCTGTACTGAATAGTCCTTGGATGGTAGACCACCAAGAAATCCCCATCTAGTGTTAGAGGAGAATTCAGCCTGGATTCTTGGAAATTAAAGCCAGTCAGGTCTGACAGTACTAGATGGATCAATATAATGCTATTTCCTATGTTCCCAACAGGGCAAGAGAATCCCTCTTTCACCACCTTCCGAGATAAAGGGATACAGAGGGATTAGACAACCCTTCCTGGCCATTCTTGAACAGCATCCCACTTTGATATTCCTATCACCAGATGCAGGTGTTGGTTGTGATAAAAGGCAGGGGCTCCAGTTCGTGCACACAGACACCCTACCTGCTGCAGCCACTGACAATAAAAATCCGAATTCAAATGACTGAACCAGAGAGCTCTTTTATTCTAGGAGGCCCTGACAGGACCTCCTTATTAATGCACCAACAATCTCCCCAGAAACTGAAAAGCTGTCAAAACCCGGAGAGGTTATGAGGCCTAAACAAGCTAGAGAGAAGAGCTGCCAGGGGAGATAAAGGTGTTGGCGTCTGTTCTGGGTTATTGAAATTTTAATCCGTTGTGTTGGGGTGGGGTGGCGGGGGGTTATTGAGGATAAGTGTCACGTGTCTCATTAAATAATTAATGTCGATCTCCAGGAATGGATCTCCGGCCSTCACTTCTCACTAGGAGGAGTGATTCTTTCCGAAGTGAAAGGGAACTTCCTCTTTGACTTTCCAAAAAAACACCCCACCCTCGCTTCCTTTCCTTCCAGCCTCCCCCCTTTTCCCCCTTTGCCTTTCCCAATCCAACCTACCTGATTTATCTTTGCAAGGGTCCTTAACCATCTAAAAGCAAGCAATTGAGGGAATGAGGTCGGTAAGTATGCAAAGTCCAGTCGTGTGCCTTGATTGCCTTGCATTGTTTTCACTTGTTTTATGGGGGGGGGGGTGATTTAGTGGAGTTGAAGATTTAGGAAAGGTCTCCTCTTTGTTGAAAGGATGCCTTAAATCCAGGCGAGGCTGTTCGGTAACTCTTCTCAGAGTCAACCATTCACAAGGTGGAGAGGTTGACCACCACAGTGAAGCCTTGGATGTTTGGATTGTTTTCTCCCTTCCGCTTTGCCAGGCGTTCATAAATCACCAGCTTCTAGGAAAAAAGGGCCAAAGCAAGAAAGAAAATGGAGAGGCAGCGTTGTGGGAAAGGAGAGGTTGGAGGATCCAAAGAAAGCCCAAACTGTCATGGACGAATTTCTCTCTGACTCCTCATTAGGTTGAGCAGTTTTGAACAAAATCAAATAATTATATATATATATATATATATATATATGGGAGTGTCAGTTTGTTAATCATTCCAAGACTATTTAGGATCATTGGAGATGGAGGAAAGTCTCTCCTTTGTTTTCCCCAACCCCCATTTCTGGCAATATAAAATATTAGGGTGTGTAGTTTAAACGCTCTGAAACACAAAGTGAAAAATTATGCATATTATTTTAATAATATAATAAATAGTGGCGTTGGGGTGGCAACCTAAATTCAGACATTTGTAATCGGTTGCCTTACAGATTGGTTGTGAAAGATTTCTCAATGTAAAACCGCAAATCTGGATTTTAAAAAAATGGCAGAAATATGAAATAAGTTTTTATTTATTGCCTGAAGCGGAGCCTGCCAAGAAGCCCCAGAAACAAAAGTTTTTCTTATAATTTGAGGAAACATTGAATACTCTTATAAACTGTTGTTTATGGGGTTTCCCCCCCTGTTAATGACTGTTTAACACTACCTTGAAAAAATATGATTGTGATTTACATTTATCAGAACCACACTCTGTGCCACCAACCTTTCTCAACGTGGAATTTAAACTCTTCAGCCCAGGCTTTGACATTGTTCCCATTGTTTAGCTATTATTAGCAGACACTTTTACAAGCCCATAAAGGAGAATGGGGTGAGGCTTCAAAATAAAACTTAACATAAAATGTAAAACATCTGGAGAGAATACATGGGGTGAGGAAAAAGGAAGGCAAAGCAGAACCTTGTTATTATACATTATAGATATGCTTTAAAAATTATTGCTTTGTGAATGTTACTAACTGAATCTTCTGACTCCTTTTTCACTCAGGGAAAAAAACAATGATAATCCCAGTTTTTCCCTTTGCCTCCCATTGTGCATTTAAAAAGAATTCCCTGATTTTTTGTCAATGGTGGATAGATCAGGACAGATTCCCGTGCTTGTGATTCTGAGCCCTGTATTTCAAATAAGGAAATCTCATTCTTACAGTGTTAAAGAGAAATTAGTATGGCGAGGTCTGTTTAACTTCTTTACTTGATGCAGGGGTGCTAAACAAAGCTCTTCCGGTGAGACACTAAGCCTACATTCTTGAATAATTACCTTGTATGGAGAAGTGGAATTGCTTGGGATACTGATCTTTCACCCTCCCCAGGACTATTATTATTATTATTATTATTATTATTTATTATATACACAGCAAAATTAGTACATAGCAAACAAGATCATGATGCTGGCTTTTGTATTAGATGATGATGATGATGATGATGATGATGATGAGTATTATTATTTGCTACACAACAAAATTAGTGCACAGCAAACAAGATCACTATGCTGACTTTTGTATTTGATTACATTATTATTATTATTATTATTATTAGTAGTAGTAGTAGTAGTAGTAGTATAAACACAACAAAATTAGTATGCAGCAAACAAGAGCACTATGATGGCTTTTGCTTTGGATTATTATTATTATTATTATTATTATTATTATTATTATATACACAACAAAATTAGTACACAGCAAACAGGATCACTAGGCTGGCTTTTGGATTATTATTATTATTATTATTATTATTATTATTATTATTTGATAGACAACAAAATTAGTACACAGCAAACAAGATCTCTATGATGGCTTTTGTATTAGATTATTATTATTATTAGTAGTAGTAGTAGTAGTAGTAGTAGTAGTAGTATTTGATACACAACAAAATTAGTACACAGCAAACAAGATCACTATGCTGGCTTTTGGATTGGATTATTATTATTATTTAGTACACAGCAAACATGATCACTATGCTGGCTTTTGGATTGGATTGTTGTTGTTGTTGTTGTTGTTGTTGTTGTATTTGATACACAACAGAATCAGTACACAGCAAACAAGATCACTTTGCTGGCTTTTGGATTATTACTATTATTATTTAGTACACAGCAAACAAGATCACTATGCTGGCTTTTGGATTGGATTATTATTATTATTATTATTATTATTATTATTATTATTATTATCTGAATCAAGAGTTTCTTTCTATTTACTATATTCTCATCTAGGTTCTGTTAAAATAGGCCAATTCTATTCTGACCCTAGTCTTGAATCAAAATGAACCTTTATTCCCTTCTCCTCTTCTTATTTAGTCATTGCCTGCTCTTTGTTTACAGCTCTCCTCTCCGTTGGAAAATAAGGTTTAAAGAATCGCTCAGTTTGGAAATAATTCTGCCTGTGGTTGGAGACGCAAGAAGGTAAGAGTCTTGGTGGGTGAAACGAAATCCGTTGCCCAATCGTTTTAAATAGTTCTATGTTGCAGGATAGCTGGGACTCGGAATGGTGGTGTTTATTATACAAGTTGCTCGGAATTTCGGGTTTGATAAATAGCTCAACCGGTTGGGATTTTCTGCTTGGCGTCGATTCATCTTTCTGGGTCCATGAATGCACGTCTTGTGAAACAAAGAAATGCACAGAAATGCGAGCCTCGGTCTTGGAGAGCCATTGCAAATGGTCAGGGTGGCGCAGGGAGTGGAAAGAGCTGGGAAAGCAAGGAAGTTACTGAAAAGCATTTTTCCTGGTCTGTTAAATCAAGATATCAGGCTAGGTTCGTGATTTAAAAGGCTTTGGGGTCAAGGAGCTATCCCTTCTCTGGTTAGTATGTTTTCTTCGGCAGCTTTCCAAAGTCCTTCCTAACATTGCTCCTGTTTTCATTTTCGAGAGGACAAAAAAAGTCTTCAGAATTCAGACCATTTGAGTATTAATCCGTGGCTTCTGGAAATAACATCGACTATTCTCTTAACTATGTGTTTGGGTAGCTTCTCAACCATAGAAATCTCATTCAGATCTGCCCAGAGAGGAGCTCCTCTTTCGCCCTCTCTCCGTGCAGTCGTTAAAATCAATGAAAAGCTTTCCTTTTCCAACCTGGGGAGATTTGATTTTATTTTAAGCAGGGTTACAAGAGATACGAAAGGGTTATTTGAATTTCCTGCTAGAATTTCCTGCTTTTATGAGGCCGGAGGACAATTAGTTTAGTTTACTACCTTTTAAAAGGCAGGCATAAATTACAAGGCTATAAGGGCTGGGAAGTGTTGATTTAGTAGCTTGCTGAAATCCTCCCGGTTGAAAAGGCGCCTAGGAACAAGTTTCCTTGGCCATTTGGAGAGGGAGAGAAGAGAAGAGAAGAGGGCGATTTCAGTCTCCAAGCATTTTGAGGCCGAAGGAGCAGAGAAGAGAATTTATATTCCCCTAAGTGTCTGAACTTTGGCCACACCATCTCATCCCCGGCATAGTTTGTTTTCTCTAGCGTAACACTTAAGGATAATATTGAATGTTGAAGTGTTGTTTTGTACAGGATGGAGCCCCTGTTTTTAGTTCTCGAATAGGAATGTGTTCTATGTGATCCAAATTAATGAATAACGGGTGTCAAGACAACACTGTTGTCAAGTTGTTGTTCTGTTTAGTAGCTCCTTAAATGAGAAGGATCCAACTTTTACAGAGGAATAGAAATGCCAATCCTGTATATTATATTATATTATATTATATTATATTATATTATATTATATTATATTATATTATATTATATTTATTATTATATTTATTATTATATTATTCTACTATATATTTATATATATATAATTTTAATTATATTATATTATATTTATTATATTGTATTTTATTTTTCTTAATAATACATGCACGCCAATCCTGAATATAACACATAAAATATTTATAGTGATGTCATTTCCTGTTCCTGATTACCTTTGACTTGGATTTCAGACCCCAAGTAAAAAAATTAAGTATCTAGAGAAAGCGCTTTGATATCAAATGTATCTCAATATGTCATATTCTAAGGGCTGGCATTCATTTTATACAGGCATCTGGTAGAAGGAGGCTTTAGTCTCAACATTGTAATAGCTCAAACTCAGAACAGGAATTGTCGAAGGATTTCATGGCTGGGATCACTGGGTTATTCTGAGTTTTCCCAGCTGTATGGCCATTTTCCAGAAGCATCCTCTCCTGACGTTTTGCCTGCATCTAAAACATTCACACCTACCTCGAAAACATTCATACCTACTTTGAACAGACAAGAGTTCTTTTTCCCATCCTGGACATTCCACAGATATATAAACCCAATTTTCCTAGTTTCCAACAAACCTTACAACCTCTGAGGATGCTTGCCACAGATGCAGGCAAAACTTCAGGAGAGAATGCTTCTGGAACAGGGCCGTACAGCCCGGACAACTCACAACAACTTTCAAAATGGGAATGTTCTGATTTCAATACAACTTGCACTCTAAAGTTGGCAAGAGTGGAGTCCTTTCTGTCTGGTCTTCCAGCCTTCGGTGTGCTATTTATTTACTTGGCAGAAAGTCCCACTGAAAGCAATAGGACTTACCTGTGAGTAAATATGGCTAAGATGGCAACTTCGAGCTTGGAAATTGGACCCGTTTCAACTTAGTGACATCTGGATTCTAAAACCCAACAGGCCCAAAAATATGGGAAAGGTTGGTTTCAGCTCCTTCTTCCTTCAGGATGGCAGTCTGACTCTTAGTAGCAGATTTGCCTTGGGTTTCTTCAGTAGAAGTTTCACAAAGAGGTGGCCCACGTGGCCTTAATCTCTAAATAAAACGTTCAGGTTTTTATTTCTCCGAAAAGGTCCAGATCTCCAGGTTCTTGAAGGTAACCAAAAAGTAACTGGTGAGTCTGAATGAAGGAGCCAAGATGCGTAGGTGAGACAAATCAAAGGGCAGATGCTGTCATGTCCGCTGGTATTTGTTTTTCCAAAGTCCAGAATCCTTGAAATTCAACTACTTCCAAATCAATTCCAGAACCGATTTTTCCCCTTTGAAGAAAGAAATATAGTCCAGAACGTCTAGCGAAGCGAGATGGACTTTCCCCTTCCCCATCTTCCAAAACAGAACCTGAAGAAAACACTTCCCTCTTGACTGCTAAGAAGTTACTTTTCTTTTCTGCAAAACACCCGCAGAGATTCACTCCACTCCCCACTACACACTCGGAGTTAATAGTTCAACGCCAGTTTTCACATTAACTTCAAACTAATCGAGAAGATCTTCACAGAAAGGGGAGCTTTCCTTGAAGAAAGGACAAACCCCAACCGCCCTGCAGAGCGCAGAAGTTGAAGTTACACCCCAGAGTTATGATTATGATGTATCGCGTTTGTAGTTTCTGTTCGCTTGAGCCATCTTTCTGCTTTTGACTCGGGCAGTCGATGGCGTCTTCCTGGAGACTCAGGGAGATTTGCTGCGCCTTTCCCCCTGCATCGCTTCCATTATCCATTAATTTCAGCGGCATTGTTGTTTGCAGAAACTTCTGAGCGCCTCTTTTGACTGGCCTGGAGACACTTTGGTTTAAATACCCATGAATCCACCCCTTGTATAAAGAGGCTGCCGGCTGAAGTTTGGCATTTGTCAGAGGAGCTGCTCATGGGGAATAAGGATGGCCCTAGGTTTGATTATCATACTAGCTTCTAAGGAAACCCCCTTTTCTTTTGGGTATTTGGTTGATAGGAAGCCAACATCTTTGTTTTCTCTTACTTCTGAGGGGAGAGAGCTCAACTTCATATTATTTGGGAACAAAGTCTAAGATAAGTTACTTCCAATGTCCTTTGGGTGTTCAATTTAATGTAAGAAGTAATGCAAGTTATTTCCAATGTATTTTGGGTGTTCAACTTTATGTGCACAGGGTTGCTGAGAGTTTTCCAGACTGTATGGCCATGTTCCAGAAGCATTCTCTCCTGGCCTTTCGCCTGAGTGGCTATGAGAATGCCTGCCTTAGATGCAGGCAAAACATCAGAAGAGGAAAATGAGGTGGACATTCCACATATATAAACCCCATTTTCCTAGTTTCCAACAGACCTCACAAACTCTGAGGATGCCTGCCATAGATGTAGGCGAAACGTCAGGAGATAATGCTTCTGGAACATGGCCATACAGCCTGGAAAACTCACAGAAACCCTGTGTACATAAAGTTATAAAGTCTGTTGGAAACTAAGCTAGTGGGGTTTATATATCTGTGGAATGTCCAGAGTGGGAGAAAGAACTCTTCTCTGTTTGAGTTTATGTGCACAGTTATTTCGAAGGAAAGCTTAACACAAGTTACTTCAAGTGTCTTTTGAAAAATCTTTGTATTTTTTCTTGGGAAGCAGCCTAAGATAAATCATTTGCAATGTATTTTGGTATTCATGTGTGCACTTACTTACTTGTGAGAAGGCCTAGGAAAAGTTACTTGCAATATCCTTTGGATGTTTATTGGGGTTGTAACTACAAACTCCTCCAAGGCAATCCTAGGCCTGCTGGTTCTAAAAGGTTGATCCACTTTGTTTTGGGAGACTGCCAGTTGAGTGTGAAAGGGAATGCAACCATACCTCAAATGAAGAGGAAGTGGTCTTTTAAAGTAATCCCAGCTTATCTTTTTCATTAATATTTTATTAGGTAACAAGAGACATGGGGTGGGGGCTTATTGAAGTGCCTACTATTGCCCCCCTGTCTTGTCTCTCAGAGAAGCTGAAGTCCTCCAGGATTAGGGAAGGGAGTCCCACTAAAGCTGGGATCAAGTTAGACTTCCATCCATGCACTTCCAACTAAGAAGCCTGGAGTGATTGTTAGGAGTGTTGCAATAATCCAGCAGCCTCTTTACATAAAACTCGAAGGGACAGCTGGTGAAGGATGCATTTCATATCTTCTCACACATTAAAAATAGATTTATCTCCCTATCTATGGGCAGTGTTGAAAGAAGCAGAATGGCAGAGTAGGTTAAGGACCAGCCAATGGGGAGGTCATTGTGAGGAAAGGGGAAACCAGATAAAGAATTGGGGACCCACCTTATCCAAGTGGGCCTGAAATGGAGTGGTGAAAATCTTTAAATCTTTCAGCTTTTTTGAGACAGAACATCTTTAGGAAACATAGTACAAAATCAACTACAAGGAGAGGGAAGATATTCTTTTCCAAGGTCTAGACACAGACGACATAATTTCTTTCTTCCATTGACTTGCCTGAGCCTCTTGAGGTTTTTTTCTCCTCCAATCTTAAAAAAATTCCTCCCACTCTGGCCAGTAAGATAATTATTCCCCCCCTAAATATCTCATCGTTTGAGAACCCTATAATTTTAACATCACTCAAGTCCTTGGATAGGAAATGCGTAAGTGCAGGTTGAATAAGAAGGTCCCCAAAGAGTTGGCCAAATCCAGATCCACCACAGGCCAGTCGGGCGCCTTCCTACTTCTCTTCTTCTTCCTCTTCGTGGGGTGTTAACAAGGACGTAAGCCCCTGACCCTCTTCCAAAGGACCCTTTCGCCTTTGTCAGGTAATGTCTGGTCTTTGGGGTCCCTACAAGGGCTTTGCTGTACCGTGTGGGTGTTCAGCAAAGTCCCATTCAAGAGAGGAGCCCGTGGGATGGCGGCTGGGAAGGGGGCTTCCCTGAGGAAATGGTAGGCAGGAGTTCACCTCGACTGCGACCCTTGGAAGGGTCACCGGACACATCTATCCCTCCCTCCTTCTTTAACCCAACTTTTCCAGAGGCAGCTTGGTTGGCCTCAAAACTTCTGGGTAGTGACATCAGAGGGAAACAATGCCGCTTTCTTTCCTGTCTGGAGATTATATGCAGAAATATTAATGTGAGGGGTGGGAGGCATAAAAAAACCAACTTAGTTCTACACACTCCCCCCAAAACAAACGCACACCATCTTCTCCCGTCTCCCTCCTCTCTTTCTCCTTCTCTCTTCTTTAATGGACTTGGTTAAAGCTTAAGGGTAAAGGGACACACTCACACACACACACACACACACACACACACGCCAGGCTGGCGCTGCTTCCAAGCCTTGTTCCTTCAGCGATTCCCTATTTCAAATAAAAGGATTTAAGTTGACGTATGACCACGTGAGCACATAATACAGCGCATTATTGTGGCATTTGGAGTGGAGACCCGGACTGGCTTCGCCTGCGATTACGCTTTCTCCGTTTCGGTGCAGAGCCAGAACTGCTTTCTATTATCCACTGGCTGGCCATCCTCGCCGCCGCCGCCGACCCCCCTCCCCACTTTTCCACCGAGCGAGGCAGGCAGCCCTCCTCCTAATCCTCCTCCTCCTCCTCTTCTTCCTCGGCGAGAGCTTCCCCTTTGGCTTGGCGACCCTCGGCTCCTGATGGAAAAGGGGTTCTTGCTCGGCTCTTAAGGACAGAATGCGGCGTTAAAGAGCAAGGCAAGAAAAAAAAGAAAGAAAGAAAGGATGGATTTTATTTTAAGGTATTTCCGCCGGTTGTTTCGATTTTGCGGGCGCGACTTATGGCTGGGCGAGTTAAAGGTCAGGAGAAAAAGGCTTCGGGGGTGGAGATGGACACCAGTCAAGCCTGGTTTCCCCCTTTGTTTCCCTGGGTTTGTGGTGGTGGGTGTTGGGAAGAGAGAAGAAGGAGCCTTGCCACAAACAGAGGGGAGAATCTCTTTCCTTCTGCCTCCTCTTCTATTCTAGTCTTTCTGCTTATTATTATTTCTTTGTGCCTTGAGTCGTCTCCATGTTGTGTGATTATTGTTGTTGAGCAAACTCGCAAAAAGCTGGGGTGCCTTTGCTGTGATATCCTGATATCCTGGCTGCTTGGAGTGTTCAGGAAAAAGGGATATAGGAGCCAGGTTTGTTGTGTTTAGGAGAAAGAGATATAGGAGGCAGAATGGTTGGATCTCTCTGATTCTGGACCCTTGGAAGCACTGTTTTATTGTGTTTAGGAGAAAGGAATATAGGAGGCAGATTGGTTGGATCTGTCTGATTTTGGATCCTTGGAAGCACCGTTTTGTTGTGTTTAAGAGAAAGGGATATAGGACATAGATCTGTCTGTATCTGGACCCTTGGAAGCACCGTTTTGTTGTGTTTAAGAGAAAGGGATATAGGAGACAGATCTGTCTGATTCTGGGCCCTTGGAAGCACCGTTTTTGATACCTTTTGTTGATATTTCTGGCGCTTGCTACGACTGCTGGGCCGGTTTTGTGAACCTGTGATGAAACCCTCAGGTCGAGAGGTTTCCACCTTCTTCCACCTTCAATGGAAGAAAGGAATAAAAACATCCCTCCATGCCCTACCATTAAGAGATTCTTGGGCTGCCTAAACGGAGGGAGGTGGAGAAAGGAAAAGAGATAGATATTTAACCCCCCCCCCCCATCTTTTGTCCTTTCTCTCCCCCCAATCCCAGGTTTATATTCTCAGTTTTCCGAGACTTCTCACCAAGTCTTAAAACAAGCGATTTATTCCGTTTTATGGACGGAAATGCACCCTCAATAACGGCGGGAAATGAAAGCCCTGCTTGTGTTATACAAGGGGACAAATGTTATATAAAATTACATCCACCACTGAGTCCCAGCATTGCGAAAGGTCAGAGTGCTGACTTTTGATTTATGTTGCCAGTGGGCCGGGGCAATGCGCTCGCCTACACCGAGCTGTGCCTCCTTCCTTCCTTTCCTCCCTCCCTTTCTCCCCCTTTTTCCCCATACTGGCCGGTTGCTATTATTCAATTTGGGGTTGCAATCTTTAAGGACAGGGGAAAAGACTGGAAAGATGAAGAATCCCCTCAATAGCGTGGCGTAAGGTTTCTTTCTGACCCTACACTTCCTTTTCCCTCTCCTTCCTGGTCTGACAACCGACCTGGTGCCCAAGAAATGCATGCAAAGCAACCTATCAGGGTCTA